TAATGTTCCCTGTTAACCTGTTACGATGATTCCCAAAGGGAATAATACAGCCACTCCATCCATCTCTGCCCACATCCTTCTTCCCGAAACTCCCCCCAAATTACTTCTGAACCCTCTGGCTAAGACAAAGGGCAAAGATCTCAGACATAGGCAAGCTGCTAACAGTTTAAATCAAGCACAGAAGTCTGCTTCTCCACCTGCTATTTTAAGTGGTTTCATCAAGAATAACTGCTACGTTAACATACACATTCTCAGACATCAGCCAATCCTCACAGCAAAATAGAGAGGATTTCAGGCTTTGCCAGCTCCAGTGCTCATGACTTAATTACGAAAAGTGCTCAGCATTAACAGCTCGCATTGGTTTCTACACCCATTGGGCATGTTCAACACCAAGCCAGTCCCTGATGTAATGTAATACGTGGAGCAGCAAAGAAACGAACACACCAACTGATACAAAATACACTAACACAGGAAACACCAAATTTGCAAAAGCCAAGGGAGTACTCAGAAGGCTAACTTCTGTGCTAGAGCCTCACCTAGATTTCTAATAGCCAGAGGTTAGCTTAATCATTAAAACATGCCATTTAATTATGCAAACTACTCAGCTGCTTAAACAAAGCCTGTGATGGAGGCACCCAATGAAACCAAGTTATCCTGGCTCCCAACCATCTGTTTGGCAACTATAAGCACATCTTTATTCTCCTTCCCCTCCTACCTTTCCTCTCGACAGCTTTAAACATTTCAAAATAATTACTGAAATACATCCACTACATTTGGTATTTGCTACTATTTAGGTAAGTATCATAATGAATTTGCTTTGTGCGAGAAATGATCATTCTTTCAGCCAGTTTGTTATTGTGGTAATTTCTGATCCATAATCTGAGCAGTTACAAGGGAGGATTAAATAAAGGATACAGATCACAAATGTGCTCTTTTAGAAAGAGCACATCAGGTTCAGGACAGTATGAAAGGAGAAGCAAGTATTTGCCAGAAAAAAAAAGCAAGCAGACAGATTAGCATTATGGTTTTTAATCATCTGGCAAAAGTATTCTCTACTAACTCAAAAAAACAATTTTCAAGATAAAGATACCTGTGCTATGGTCTTACAGAACTGCAAAATACTATTTCACACCCTGATTTATATGATGCTTTTTAAGAGGCACCTGCAAATGGCAGGAAAAGCATTGCATATTAAGCAATCTGGAAACAGCAGAACACAGAAAGTAAAGACGGCACTGAGGTGAGCAAGAACATCTACACGATTACTTACTACAGAGCCTTAATACTGTATGATGCATATTTAGAGGGCTTACGTGATACAGTTTCTGTCACTTTCACATCTCTTACAATACCTTGCCTGGTCGAAATTCCGGGAAGAGCTCTGTAACACTTGGCAACTGTTTGGTAGCATCTCGCTGCATGATTCCTGCAAGAGGAAGTGTGAGTTTGCCTTCCTTGGATTCTGCCTGCCTGGCTTCTTGAGGTCCCATCTCTGACTCAGAATCAGAGCTGCTGCTGAAATCCACCTTGTCGGAGGCAGCAGAGGAAGGAGCAATGATGGAGGGCAAAATGATACCGTCTCCATCTTCAGATACTACAATAGAACAAGCACCTTATAAACAAACAGGTTTCCTCCCTGTCCCCTAATACAACCCCATAATGCCACAACTCCTGTTTTTATACCAAGGTATGCAAAAATTAAGCCTCTGCAGGTGTTACGAGTACCATTCTGGTTTAACCTTGCATTTTATCCTAAGCGTTCCAGGGGAATTTCCCAGCCACAACTGAGAGGATGAGATAAAAAAAAAAGCAGTTTCATTGTCAATATCAGTATTTTATCAATCACTGGAAATAAAATATTTCACCTTACATTTCAGGTAATCCTTTACCATTGCATATCAGGATGAAAACCCACCTTTAGATGCAGTCTGCGGACTGAATTTTGATGACACGTGGTTCTTGCTGCAGAATGAACTGCTGCACATCAGTGTTTGCTTCCTTCAGATATTCACATTGCCAGAGAGAGGAAGAAAGTTCCCACTCACCAGCTGCAGCTGTGTCCTTTTCATCTTCTTTCTTTCCAGGGACTGGAGGTGGTGGTGGTGGTGGCATCAACTTGGAATCAATATCTTCACAGTCAGCATCATAATCATCCTCATCTTCATCTAACCAGTCAGGAGACAAGACTGCATATTAAACAGACAATAAAGAGGAACCAGGCACCCTTCCCATTGATACTATCTTATACCTGTCTCAACCTGATGAGAAGAGCATGTCTTCCCTTACTGAGGAGACCATCCTCGTTTTGTAACAAGATGCAGAACTCTCACAAGTTCAGCTTTCTGCACGTACTCATTTGCAAGATTGAAATGTAAGAAAGAATGCAAAGGAAGGGAAAAGGCGAACTGACAGAAAGATGATTGAAGCACTTAGCATATACACATATATTATGCTATCACTTCCTTTATTCACGCTTTGCAAAGCAAATAAAGTTGTAAAGAATCAAAAAAAATGTAGTAAAAATGTGGTTAAAAAGTCCTAATCACCTTTACATCCCGCTAACAACAATCTGTCAACAGCAAGGTTAAATGGAAGGCAGCTTCAAGGAACATGCAAAGATTTAGCATTTACACTAGCAGCTACTGAAAGGGAAAAGCTTCATGGTTTTGAAAATCTTTTCCAGACCAGACAGAGATCCCTGGGACCAACAAAAGAACCAAACTGCTTTCTGTAGAAAGCCATTTCAGAAAAAAAAAAAAAAAAAAAAAATCGGGGTAAAACAGGAGAGAAATATTAAGATGTTAAGATATTAATATTAAGGGGACTGGAGCACCTCCCATATGAAGATAGGCTGAGAAAGTTGGGCTGTTCAGCCTGGGGAAGAAAAGGCTGTGTGGAGACCTCATAGCAGCCTTCCAGTATCTGAAGGGGGCCTATAGGGATGCTGGGGAGGGACTCTTCATTAGGGACTGTAGTGATAGGACAAGGGGTAACGGGTTAAAACTTAAACAGGGGAAGTTTAGATTGGATCCAAGGAGGAAATTCTTTCCTGTTAGGGTGGTGAGGCACTGGAATGGGTTGCCCAGGGAGGTTGTGAATGCTCCATCCCTGGCATTGTTCAAGACCAGGTTGGACGAGGCCTTGGGTGATATGATTTAGCGTAAGGTGTCCCTGCCCATGGCAGAGGGGTCGGAGGTAGATGATCTTAAGGTCCTTTCCAACCCTAACTATTCTGTGTTTCTAAGATTGAAGTGACTCTCTAAAGAATCAGGACCTTATCTCTACCTCTGAGTATCTCCAAGAAGCAGCAGATCTGCTGCATAATCCTCTTCTTAAGAACACTGATTAACAAAACATGAGCAGGTATTGGGAATTCTCTGCAGGGGTTCCCAGAGGAAAAGGAGGGTCCTAGTTTCTTTTCTGAGTATAGTTTAAGTCTAATGAGGAACTAATTCACTAAAGTAGGAAGATACCAACCAGTGGCTTCATCCAGTGAACACAGTTCTACAAAAGCTTGTATTAGGCTCTTGAAGCAAGGAGTGAAAAGGTACATTGTAACCCATACAGAAACTGTCAAGGCCCACTGCCCCAAAATACCTTCTACAGCTATAACACTAATCCCATTTACCTGGTCTTCGAACTGGCTGCAGGCTGCCCATTGCCTGCTTATACCTACGGCTCTCATCTTCTGCCACTTCATTAATATCTGAATAATCAACAGCATCTTCTGTGCTTTTAACCCAGCCTAGGAAGAAAAGAAATCTAGTCACACAGAACTTTATCCTAATATGAATAACCAATGTCAGACTTTGATGCGTCCACATGAATCCGTTCTTATGTTTTCTTTTTTTAGAGGAACAAATACATCTGATTAACATCACTCCAACCAACAGCTCCAAGAGCTCTGAATTCCCCACCCAGACTGGTAAGTAACCAACTTTAGCAGAAGGAGCACCTTTCACTTACTCAGTAAAACTGTTCAACAAGCAGTTTAAATAAAAAAAAGGGACATGATAATATTGTGCACTAAATAGGTTTGTTTAACACAGGGGAAACACAGAATAAACTTATTTATGAGGGAGAAACAACAAGTAAAAAAACCCCACTTATATAAAAATTAAAGAGAACAAGTGTAAAAGTGACCAGGACATAATGTGGAGTCATTCTGGCAAGAAGGAAAAGCCTTTTCCTAGAGGACCTCTGATCAGATAAATCACAATATTCCCTTCATGATTATCTGGGTGCTTTTCTTCCTCTCCAGTAAGAGTTCTGATCCTGCAGCCCCTCTGCGGTTTAACTGCAGGCACCCCAGTGCCTAACCTTCCTCATCCAGGTGGGCTCCATCGGATTCCGCGCTGTCCTCCTCGCTCGCTGTGATCTCGGTGATCAGGTTGCCCAGTCCCAGCACACCCAACCCAGCCAGGTGCTTCTTCGATTCCTGGGGAGACCAGAGCCACGTCCCAGCGCGGAGGCTCCGCCAGGAGGGCCGGGCCCCTTGTCAGGCTCGATCCCTCCCGGCAGCCTGCGCCAGAGCCCGGCCAACCGACCCGCCGCAGACCCGCGCCACTGGACACTGGGCTCCTTTCCCGTCCCTCAGCCCGCGCCGCGCCGCAGCTGCACCTCGCCGGAGCGACACAGCCCTACCTTGTCGAGGACGCTCTCCCCCTCCAGCTGCCCCGCCTCATTGATGTTGCCGAAGAGGAACCCGGCCAGGGAGAAGGGCTCGGCACGGCCACCTTCCACCTCCTCCTCGCTCTCCGAGTCCGACATCACTACGCTGCCGACCCGGAAGCGGAAGCGGGACGCGGCAGCGACCTGCGGGCCCTGACAACGGAGCCCCCGCGCGGCCACACCCCGCCCCAAGGAAGCGCGAAGGCTCCGGCATTCACCGGGGGGCGGTTTTATTGCATCTCAGAAACGGGGCCTGGCTGTCCACAGGAAGGAGCTACGTTTAGAACGGGTGCGTTACAAACAGCCGGGGGAAGTTAACACGAGAGCCAGAAAGAGGAGAAAATGTTTATTGCAACATAATTCTGCATAATTTAAACCAAAAACAACAAAAAAATCCTTTAAAACTGTTAGCTGTAATACAGGTTTATAGTATAAAATCAAGTCGCCAGTGTATGTATCAGTACCACACTTGGAGTCCTGAGCTCCCGACGCCGATGGGCGCTCCTCGGTCCATTGGCTCCTCGCGGTCTGCCCAGGCAGCACCACGAGCAAGGTTCGGCACTGGGAGACAGCACGGCGAGGCCCTTCCCCCTTAGGTTCCATAGAAATAGCTCCGCCGTAAACTGGAGAAAGCACTTGTACACATCTGAGCACACCCTGCATCATCCTCTGGTCACACGGTTCCTGTACTGCTCAGTTCCTTGTGCATGGCTTCAGCTATATTTCAAAAAACCACTTATTTCAGAAATCATTCATGCACTGAAAAACTGAAATCAGCCTCTTCATAGAGAGTCTCTTCTGTGAATGAAGACATACACACTGCATTCCTACCAGTAACAAACTGAGGAATCTTGAACAGTAGAGAAAACCCACACAGCTTAACTCGTGTTTTCTGATCTCCCAAAATGTTCTTGATTAAAACAAAACCAAAAATTTGATAAAATCCAGCTGTGGCATTGTGTGAACTCTGTATTTGCTTCCCGTCCACTGGAGAAAAACCAAAACAACATGTGGAAGGCACAGAACAGACTGTAGACCAAAGCACTGGACTACTTACAATAAAATGCATCAAGAATTGTAGGCAGCGAGGGAAAGGAAAATCACAAACTCAGAATGCCCATTGAATGGAAAAGCTCATTGTATCTGTGTGCTCCTGAAGCTCTTCCTCACGAGGAGCAGAGGCTGGAGAAAACCAGCTGAGCTGTCAGCCAAGCAGGGCTTCTGCTCCTGGCAGAAATCAACAGAAACACATGACACCTAAGCAACTGTTAATGAGGTACACCAAATCCCCTAAAGTTTCTGAGAGTGTTCAAAGTTCACCTTCTGCTCATTTTCATCACTATCATGTTGTTCTCCTCCGTACTGTTGTGTGATCCATTTAGTAAGGAATCTAAATGGGGATAAAGTGTTCTAGGATAATGTAATCAATTCAAATAAATTGATTAAGTAGATGAATTTTATCTCAATACACTCTCTTCCAGTTAACACCAGGTTGGCTGCTCTGTGAGTCTACAGGAACAGGAGGGGTGTGTAGTAATACTTGCTCACAAGATTTCTTCTCCACAGAGTTACTGTCATCCAGTTCAGAATAACCACAAAATATGCAGACCTAAAATATTTCAGTATGTAAAAAAGTAAAAACTTTTTAAAACAGTAGTAGTTTCAGTACAAAATTGCAAATATATGTAGCAGAGAAGGGGGGGGGGGTGGAAGAGGTGCCTGTTGTTGAAATTAAGTCTATTTAAGAGCAGTTCAAACGTCACAAACGCTTTGAAGTACATCTCTGAATGAAGCAAAGGGGCTTGCACTGGGGTGACTAGACAGTTGATTTATGCCTGACTAGCATTAAAAACGCCCATGTGCACTGGCTTACATAAATACATTGTAAACACGATAAAGCCTTTTTATGCAGTTACTGAAATTTACCTACAGAAAATAATCTTGAATTACAAGGCACAGTTAATTACTACCTCCAAGTCAATCCCACAGTAAAGGCCTACTACTAAAGTAAAGGCAGAACATGGTGAGTAGAGGTTACCTAACTAAAACACTACAGCTTCACAAGCCTGCAGGGCACTGCAATGGGAGCCACATCTGGAACAGCATTTCCATGAGTGCAAGAGGTGCAATGGCACTTGGTGAAGAAAAATACGCAGAGTCCCTAGGCTTCTGCAAACATACATAACAGGTGTTTTGGTGTTGCTTGCAATAAGGCAACATTTGGACCTCTGCATTGGTTCACTAGACACATATATCAGCATTTGGATTAACTGCAGCTTATAAATTATGGGTTGCAGTTTGCTAAGGCAACACCAATACAAGCGTATCTCAGATACACAAAAATTGGAGCATCAGTTACACCGGCTGAAGAAGGGCACATCCTCCTGAAAGGGAATTAGAGCACAAATATGAATGTTTCTATCCACCTGGTATTTTTGCATGTATCAGATAAAGCAAGGTCAAATTAACACAATATCCCTAAACCCTTCTTGATGTACTCTCTGTTCTCATGCTAAAATGAGGCTTTTTTTCTGTCCAGGATATACACCAGTGCACTTTTGCATGTGTGGGAATCACAAGAAAGCAAGTCCTGAATTACCCATTGAGGCTGCACCCAGACAAAGACAGCACTGTCAACCTCAGACAACAAAGCTCAGTCCAGCACCACTGGTTTCACACAAAGTAGCTTTGAAGCATGCTGCTTTCATACCACCAAGCTGTAAGGTTAAGTCTAAGGAAGGTTTCATGCACTCACTCCTCAGCTGGTCCCAGAATGACACATCAAGAACAGTGCACCCTGAAAGTAAAAGCCAGCTGCCACTCACTAGAGACGCTCAGCAAAGTTAAAAAGGATGTAAATAGAACTTCAGTTAAAACAGTTTATATTAAGTGATCACCTACTAGAAAGAAAAAAACTGCCCAAGTAAATCTATTCAGTGACTGACTAACCATTATAAATTTAACTGAAACCACGAGTGAGTTGCCAGGAAGAAACAAGCGTTCCTGGTTCCTGTAAACAGAACCCCCAAATTTTCTGTCAGTGTTCTCCCAGAAAAGAGACAAAGCAATATGCCATAAAAATCTCAGGTGGTGGCCCAAGAACAGTAAGAAGTAAAGCAATGAATTCCTCAAGAGCAAATGGCAAAATGCTATCAAGTCTCTGGGATTCATGAAAGGTATCACACCGAAAATCTCATTTTGAGAAGTGTCATTGCAACTACCTCAGGCAGTCTGAGAAGGTAACTGAACTTTATTCTCAAGGTGCAAAATCTCTTTGGAGAGTGAAATCAAAACTCAATTTAGGTTATTATGAAAGACTTGCATCTAAACTACTCTTTCACCTCTCCAATTCAAAAGTATGAAAACTGCTCATTTCAGTGATTCGTCATTATCCTAAATTCTGTACATTAGGAGAAATCAGTTCCTACTTCTATTAATAAAATCACTGCAGGTGTTCCCTGGGTCTTGCTCATTACATTAAACACACCGTATGCTAACTCTTCATATAAATGATCACAGTTCACTCTAAGGTGAATCTCAGAAATATTTCAGGCATTTTTGCATGTAAACAAGTTGTTTTCAAGACTTAAATTGACAAATCAAAAGAACTGCATAGTCGGACTTCTGTTTGTAAAACAGATCAGTAAAATAAGGGATGGAAAAAGCAGCAGCTATACTTAGAGCAAAGTTATCATAATCTGTGCTTTTCAACAAATCTAGTAACTGATGTCTATCTAGTAAAGAAGTCCGGCTTCAAAGAAGTACCTTCTTTTATTTTCCTCACAGAATAAGGACAAAAGCCAAGTGATCCCTGGAGAAGCTAGAGACTGGAACTTTAGAAATAAAGTAGATATTTGACCTCTCAGCTAGAAAAAAAACCTCTGTTTCAGTTTCCCTGAAGCAATAAGACTGCAAGAATATTCGTTGCATAAAGCATTTCTGCTTAGAGCTGTTAGTGCAAGATGAGAATCTTCAATTTAACTCATTAAAGAGCCCTCCAAGATTCTAGTCAGTATTCAACTTTGACACTCCATCACTCCAGGTAACTACAGTAAGACACATTTTCTTGTGTTTTTCTTTGTCACAGGATACAGAACCGCACGCACAGCTTCAGCAAACACCTCACGAACACCCTCCTGATTCAATGCTGAGCACTCCAAATATTTGACTGCTCCAATTTGTTTAGCCAGCGAAGTTCCCTGCTGTGGGGTAGTGGGAGCCAAGCTTTGCTCTTTCAACTTTTTGACTGTTTCCAGGTCATTTCTTAAGTCTCTCTTCGTGCCCACTAAAAGAACGGGAACATTTGGACAGTGGTGAGAAACTTCAGGATGCCATTTGTGCCTCACATTTGCATAGGAAGAGGGGCTACCAATGGAGAAACAGATGATGAATACATTGGTTTGAGGATATGAGAGAGTGCGCAGGCGGTCATATTCCTCCTGGCCTGCAGTGTCCCAGAGATTCAGGCTAACAGTTCGGCCATCAACAGTCATTTGGGCACTGTAGTTGTCAAACACAGTAGGGATGTACTCTTCTGGGAAGGCATTGGTGGTGTAGCTGATGAGAAGACAAGTTTTTCCCACAGCACCATCTCCAACAACTACACACTTTATAGTCTGCATTCTTTACCCAGAAACAGAGTCCTGCACAAAGCAAGAAAACAGTTAGAAAAAGCACAGTCAATTACAGTAATTTTAAAGATAAGCTAACAATTTCTTATCACAGCTAGACATACTCAGTGTCTCAGAAGCCATTGTGAAGCGCTCACAGGCTAGAAAGGCAATAGTGACACGGAGATGAAAGGAGTTGAGAGCTCAGTGACAACTGGCTGCACTCCAACCACGTAAATACAAATTAGCCAAATTCCCACAGTCTTGCCTTACTGCCAGGCAGTTTCCCCACAGCCAAAGGGACAAGTCCTTAGGGGTACCTGCAAGTGGAAAGGGATCATGACCTCAGACCTAGTAACAAGATATTCTGTCATTTATAGGTTCACACATACCTCCATACACACACCCCCTCCAAGATTCACACCTCTTGCTACATAGTTTACTGCCTAAGCAAAGAAACATTCAAAAAAAATCTATAATAAACCAAACTGGCTGCACTGCTACAGTTTACTATAATAATTCACTGTAGCAATCATACCTCAAGAAACTGCATTATTTAGAGGATACCAAATAAAAGGTTCAGAAAGTAGCATTTACAAGAAAATGTTATTCTTTGAAATATAACTAGCCATAGTACCCAGCTTAGAATACAGAAGTATTTTTCCTGAAGGAGCCAAGAACAGATTATTCTCACTAATCAGCAGCAGAAAAAGCACAACGTAATAGGCTTGAGATACAATACAGATAATATACTGAGTATTAGAAAAATACATGCTGTGAAGGATCAGCAACCAGTCTTCCGAGACAGACTGTGAAATTGTTACAGGACGTATGTGATACTTACAGGCTTTCCTATCCTTTTCCCAATACATGATATGTAGGCTTGATAACCAAAGGATATAGCCTAAAACGAAATTCATTCTAAACTTTCATCACATGAACATCAGGAATTTTGAATATAGCATGGAACAACTACAAGGACTCATTTGTTGTACATCTGTTATAGTCTGGAGCTTCCACTGCTAGCCTGAACTTGCACGTGCCTTTTCACCCAAATGCCTTTGAGGTACTATCAAGTAATCCTCAACTTGCAAGCAACAGCAAATACACTGCTTCAAACAGAAGAAACAAATAGTGGGAGGAACTAGACTGCCTATTCTAGAAAGATCACAGCTCCAACACCTTCAAAATAGCAAAGGGAACATATTAAAATGAGCAATAGTGAAGTACTTCACCTATAGAAGTCGTGGAACCCCCTCCCTCCAACTTCCTCAAGGCCATCCAAACAAATCAACAACTCAGTACCATTTAAGTCTCAGCTTTGTCCTTTTGATTAAGTCTGTATCTGTATCCACATACTGCCCACTGAAAGCATACATGGTTCCTCTGTACTAAGTGAAAATAGACTTAAACTTTAGCACAAAGCTGCAACAGGCAACTCGAGAGGTATCAACTGTGGTCATTACAACATACAATGCTTAAGGAAGTGTCAATGTATGTACACATGCACTACTGAAAACCAGTCAGTGGTGGGAAGCAGTGCAGAAACCTTGTTCCAGAAAGCTCCAGCAGGACACAGGATGGGAAAAATTTGGAGGAAAACAAGCAGGAAGAAGTGACAGAAGCTGTATATCCTTTTTGAAAATGGCAGGAATGACATTTCTAAAACAACATGAATCACCTGAAATGAAATCTGGCACGTACTTTTGTGTTTTGGTAGAAAAGCATACAGGTGATTTTCACCATACATCAAAAACAAATACAGTCATCCCATTTCAAGGCTCCAGTCACATAAAGAGAGAGATGTATATGCAAGTGCATATTGTAAAAGTAATCAATAAATGAAGAACAGCACTGACCAGCAAAAGCTGACAGCCGGACTGCATCTATTATTCCAGAACACTTGCACCAAGATTTTCATTTAATAAGGCTAGGGGAAAAAAAAAAAAAAAAATAGAAAAAAAGGTAAGCTCTTTCAAAGTAGAGGCTTAGAAATATTTCTTGCATTTTGCAAACCCCAAAGTTGAAGTCCCTTTTAATACAAAATCAGTTAAAACAATACAAATTAAACATTTTTAGCATTATATTATTAATAGAAATGGAACACTGTTACCGGCAACATACAACACAGGGTATTTCTGAACACAAAGGTTCTAAGTGCTATGAGCAGTGATAAAGACAGCATGTATTTTAATACCATAACACTGTTCTGCCTAAAGATGCAATCGTAACTCCCCAACCTTGTCTCTACTGCTGCTCTCCCTGTAGGACAGATCAGTACCTACTCTGAGACGCTGGCACACTCTCACCAGCAGCAAGGCTTTCTTCAGAAGTTTCCAAACCCTGTTTCCCCTTCCCACCCATGTAGCATGCCACCTCCTCAGCTGTGATCACACACTGAAAAATGGTGATGACTTGTTTCATCCAGTTCATCACGTAGTACCACAATCAACAGTGTTGCTACAACCAAGCCAGTGGCAGCATATGGTGGGAATGAATCATGGGGGAGGAACACCATACGCTGCTGTTGCTGCCAAAATACCACCACACCACATCACGAAGAGCAGGTTTTAAAGTCTATTCCTGCATTTACTTAAAAAAACTATAGTACTTACTAGAAGATGCTGTGCTGAAAAAAACTGACCAAGAATTCCAGAGCAAAAATTTCTTCCCAAATGAACTACCTGTGCAGCAAACCACTCTTTTGATCAGTTCATAACAAGTGACATCACAGAGGTGACAGAGATAAGTCAGCTGGATACACTCAATAAAAACTCAACTATAGCAACAAAAGTCTTGTGGAAAACAAGATACGCAAAACCCTTTATGCGCCCAGTTCCTAGCTTCTGAAACAAACAAATTGCAAAGACTGGGAAGCAGATCTCTCACACACACCATGTGCTCCTCCAAGGGCTTATAGCTCTAGGCATTTCTGTCCAGACCTTTTCACAGAAAGAAAAGGTATCCCAGAATTGCACCCCTACCTGCACATACCGGGCACTGACATGTGACTACTAATATTCTAAGACAATAGAGGCAGTTTCATGTATATGTAAAATGAAAAGCCACATTATCCCATACCATCAGAAGCTAAAGTAGCTGGACTCAACCTGATATAACATTTATAATCAAAGTGCTATCCAAAGCGTATTTTCTTGGGCCTTTATTTGAGAGGTCATTAGAGCTTTCAATTCAGAGAACAGTAGTAGGGTAACAAAAAAGCCTGGAACACAAATGCTCTTTCACAGCATTAGTATATTCATTTACCTCACCAAGGCTTGGATTTTAGAAGAGCAACATTTGCAGTAACAAGTAACTCCATGCAAACATGCCAAAGCATCAGCCTAAGTATGAACTACACAAATCAATTTGATAGGTGGACCACTCGATGGATAAAGAACTGGCTGGATGGCCGCACACAAAGAGTTGTGGTCAATGGCTCAATGTCCAGCTGGAGACCAGTAACGAGTGGTGTCCCTCAGGGATCGGTGTTGGGACCGGTCTTGTTCAATGTCTTTGTCACTGACAGGGACAGTGGGATTGAGTGAGCCCTCAGCAAATTTGCCGATGACACCAAGCTGTGTGGTTCAGTTGATACCCTGGAGGGAAGGAATGCCATCCAGAGGGACCTTGACACGCTTGTGAGGTGGGCTGATGCCAGCCTCGTGGATTTTTAACCATGCCAAGTGCAAGGTCCTACACCTTGGTCGGAGCAATCCTAGGCACAGCTACAGGTTGGGCAGAGAACAGATTCAGAGCAGCCCTGAGGAGAAGGACTTGGGGGTGTTGGCTGATGAGAAAATGAACATGAGGCAGCTTCAGTGTGTGCTCGCAGCACAGAAAGCCAATCGTACCCTGGGCTGCATCCAAAGGACCAGCAGGTCGAAGGAGGTGATCCTGCCCCTCTACTCTGCTCTCATGAGACCTCACTTGGAGTACTGTGTACAATTCTGGTGTCCTCAACATAAAAAGGACATGGAGCTGTTGGAACAAGTGCAGAGGAGGCCATGAGGATGATCAGGGGACTGGAGCATCTCCTGTATGAAGATAGGCTGAGAAAGTTGGGGCTGTTCAGCCTGGAGAAGAGAAGGCTGCGTGGAGACCTCATAGCAGCCTTCCAGTATCTGAAGGGGACCTATAGGGATGCTGGAGAGGGACTCTTCATTAGGGACTGTAGTGACAGGACAAGGGGTAACGGGTTAAAACTTAAACAGGGGAAGTTTAGATTGGATACAAGGAAGAAATTCTTTACTGTAAGGGTAGTGAAGCACTGGAATGGGTTGTCCAAGGAAGCTGTGAATGCTCCATCCCTGGTGGTGTTCAAGGCCAGGTTGGACAGAGGCTTGGGTGGCATGGTCTAGTGTGAGGTGTCCCTGCCCATGACAAGACGGTTGGAACTAGATGATCTTAAGGTCCTTTCCAACCCTAACTATTCTATGATTCTATAAATACAATTAAAGAGCTTGTAGGCTTTTAAGTATGTTTCTCTGTGCAGGATTCCTTTAAATTAGGTTGTCTTAAACAAAAACAAAACAAACCAAAAAATTAAGGTAAATTATAACCAGAAAAGAGTAGAAAGAAGTTCCTACACCCCAGAAACTTCATGTTGTGAGCTGGTGTCTTGTGGTTAAAGATTTACATGTGGAAGACAAAGCTTTTTTTCATTTAAGCCACAACCAAGCAAACAATATTACCCCCATCAGACCTGTTCTAGTAAATCCACGTATCACTTTGTTCAAAATGTGTGAAGTCTCTATTCTTTTGTTGTAAACAATTTCCCTAGCAATCAAACTCTCATAAGTTAGCAAGTAGCTGGGGTTAAAATCTGCATGGAAAATTCTTTTTATTTCTCCAGCACCTCTAAACTTGGCACTGCATGCTATTTGAATATAAATGTATGCTGGGGAAAAAAAAAACATGCTCCAAAAACAAAATTACCAACAAACATTACCGAGAGCAGAAAAAATAGTTTAGGGTTTGTTTGAGGCTTTTTTGGTGAGCTTCAAAAGAATTTTGGGGAAAAACTTTAGGGAGAAAAACTCTTTCTAAAGAAGAGGTAAAGGAAAAAGAGAAAAATACAGATTAACATGTCAACCACCAAAACCAAGGTTTAGAATTTAGAAACAGAAAAGCTGGGCACAAGCTTCAAAGCCAATTTTAGTTTAAAAGTTGTTCAGCAAGAGAATGGAGCGAGTCAAGAGTAGCAAGAGGTAATTCAGGTTGCTTAATCCTGCCAAAGAACTTTCATTACAACTGAAGTGGAAGATCATCAGAACATGAAGAGTTACAGAAGAATGGGAATCATTTGCATAGAAAAATAAAATAAAATAAAATAAAATAAAATAAAATAAAATAAAATAAAATCCACCCAAAACCAAACAACCCACAAAGTGGTGTCTTGCAAAAATATGTAGATGAGAGTTACTTCTATCTTGTCCACCACTGCCTTTGAATTAGAATACTGGCATTCCTGACTGGGTCAGTTTCCTTCTCAGAAGATGCTGCAAAGTCTGCAGCTGCCTGCACACCTGGCACTTCCTTTGGAATGTAAGATTTCAGTCGACATGTCAAGACATCATCTGGAGAGCTGCTCCCATTCTGACCTAATTACCTATCCTACTGGTAGCATTAATATGGACAGCTTGCTCTCCTGTAACCCAGCTGGACATCTGCTAGGGAAATTAACTGCTTGGATTCCACTCCCTGTTCTCACAAAGTGAAATCACAGAATAACTTCATGTTGCATCAAATTTTTTTTGTGGGAGAGAAAAAACTTCCATATCTTCCCTTTAGTATCTCTACTCAGAGAAGGGAGAAAACAGAGACAGAAAACAGAGAGGAAACATGAACCTGCATTCTTCTGGGGTTTTCTAGATTTATGGGTTTTATAGTACCTGCATGTCAAAAAATTTCTGGCAGAGGAACTACTTCTTAACATGATAGGCCTCTGCTGTTACTACATTAACACCACATGCCTCTCTGTTAGGCAGGTTTTAGCTTTAATATTGCTCTTTAGCTTTAATACTGCTCATTTTCACAGTTTGTCAAGTCTTCCATATCTGTTTCCAGTTTGGGTAGGCCTTATTTTGGCAAAAAAAAGAGCAGAAAACGCAGTAGGAGTTCAGCTGAAATCACCTAAACTGAGCTGTGTTATTCTGTTCAACCACAACCTTTCATCAATCCCTCCCTGTTCTGCAGGCTCAGAAGACTGACGCTGCTTTATCAGAAGCAAGTAGAAGCAGAAGTTAAGAATGATGAATGACTTAATTGCTCATCTTCCAGTAACAAAAACTGGATCAGAGATGATTCACTCTATCTGCCCGATAGGTGAAGTTGGGCAGAAACATTCAACAATGCATTGGGTGGATAAAGCAGCTCAAAGTATATGCTACCATCCTCAGTCATGCAAAGGAATGAAGAATTTTCATGCGTGCAGCTTAGCCACCAGACCTGACAGGAAAGAGAAAGGGCCCTCTGCAATTTAATTAAGACTGTGTTACTATTCCACAACAGCTCAGCTTACTCACCATTGTTTTAGTGCCAGACTTTTAGAACGCATGCCAAGAAACAGTAAAAAAGTTAAACAGGAGACTTCATTCCTATTACCCTTCAGCAATGAATGACCTACTTGGACTTCTCAGTGCCTTTCAGTTTTCCACACTGTTTTCTGTCCTGCCAGAGAAACCTGCAAGAGAAACAAAACAGATGGCAACACCCTGAGTGGCAGCAAAGAGGGGGGAATCAGCAAGCCAAGCCAGATTTCAGTAGCACAAGAACCATGGAGCCCAAGACCCCATGTGAACATCTGAATCAAGCAAGCTTGCTTTCTGCAGAGCTCTGCCTGCAGGTTTAGCACCCATGCACATACTACTGGTGCCTAACAAGAGTGGAGCTCTCTCTGGTTGTTTTCTCAGTGCTAATGCTAGAAAGGCCTTGGCCCTTTTGGCACAAAAAGTTTTTTCAAAGAAATAAGAGAAACCATCCAAAATCTCTCATACAGTGCTTTTTAAATCTCTTTCCTTGTCAAATTAGGCTGAAACTGGTTTACCAATTTACAGATTTTTTTTTTTTTTTCCCAGGGATGAATTGAACATAAGCTTTACCATGTAAGCGGTATTCTCTGAGGAACCACAGTGAAAACTAAATTGTCTGCAAGAGGTATTTGGGCACCTCAACAAGACAAACCTCACTGCATCAACAGTCTTACTCCAGATTTTATAGGAGAGCAATTATATTAGTAGCCAAGTACCAGTGACCTTAAATTCTATGATCCCAAGATTGTTTACTGAATAATAAATATTTGCAAAGAACATTAGAAACAACCTGGTAAAATAACACTACATCAAGGTGTTGCTGCACAATCGTACAGGAGCTAAAAACCAGGACTTCAGTAGATATTTAAATTACCAATGTAAGAATATGGCAGGTATCCTGCCATAATCAAAAGCTGCATAGTATTAAACTTGATTTTCCCATTGAAACCACATGCAGAAGAATGGATTCATGCAAGACATGCAGAGGTCTGTTTATCACAGTCAGTTCATAAAGAGCAAATAACATGCCTGTCCTACCTTTTATAGACTGTGGCAATGCCTTATCCATTATTGCTGGATAAAAGAAGACAAGACAATTACCTCAGACATGAGGTTCTGTAAAAAGGCACATTAAGCACATTGCAGGATGAATGATAAATCCAGCTAAAGCATCCCTGATTCCTATTGGGGGGGAAGCCAATTTCTACTCTTTATCTTCCCATCATCTTTTAGCACCTGGCATTCACTGGCACTTCAAACACTGTGTTTTAAGAAAAGTTATAACAAAGCCACTGTTGTATTTGAAGGACAATGTGTATACCAGGAAAATCTCAGTCTCCCCTCTGGCAGGTTAAAGCCATTCCCCTTGGCCTGTCCCTACAGGCCCTTGTCCAAAGCACCTCTCCAGGTTTCCTGGAGCCTCTTTAGGCACTGGAGCTGCTCTCAGGTCTCCCCTTCAGGAGCCTTCTCTTCTCCAGGCTGACCCAGCCCAGCTCTCTCAGCCTGGCTCCAGAGCAGAGCTGCTCCAGCCCTCGCAGCATCTCCGTGGCCTCCTCTGGCCTCGCTCCAACAGCTCCATGTCCCTCTTGTGCTGCTGCCCCAGAGCTGGATCAGGGCTGCAGGGGGGTCTCCCCAGAGCGCAGCAGAGGAGCAGGATCCCTTCCCTGAGCTGCTGCTCATGCTCTGGGGGTGCAGCCCAGCACACGGGGGGGGGGGGGGGGGGGGGGGGAGGGGTTGGGCTCAAGCACACACTGAAGCCGTGTCATGGGAAGCTTCTCCTCACCCAACACCTAAAGTCCTTCTTCTCAGGGCTGTTCCATCCACTGTTTCCCAGCCTGTGTTTGTGCTGGAGACTGCCCCGACCCAGGGGCAGGACCTTGCTCTTGGCCTGGCTGAACATCCTTTTTTTTTTGTTGGGCTTTTTTTTTTTAATGGAAGTGGTAATCTAAAATACCAAACATGTCTCAAAGTTCCCTACAGAAAAACTTGTGTGTAGTTAACACTGGAAAATTCGCCAAACAGAGCCTTCAATTTATACATTTTACATCTGACAAAGAGGAGACCCATAACCTTTTATAATCAAAAACTAAGCTTGGGAGAAAGAGCACATGGCTGATGATGGTGGAATAAGGACCACTGCACCCCAGCACAGGACACATGTTGCAACAATAGAGACACAAAAAAAAAAAACATTTAATGTTTTTGATGGGGTTTTGGGTTCTTTTTACAACTCAGAGTAAATACAATTAGAATTACAAGTGCTTATAAAAAGTACATTGACACTGACTATTCATTGGGTCTTAAACAAAAAACCCCAAAACCAAACACTGAAGGGACATTAAATCGGAAAGAGGGAGGTGCAGAACAAATCAAAGGTAGCATTGCTTCTCAGGGTTTGTGGTTAAGCTAGGAATTCCTCAGTACAGGATTACACAAATCCTGAGAGTTTGTAAAACTCAAGAAGCGCACTGTTAAGCTTATGAAAGCAAGCTTAAGTCAATACCTGAAACTCCTGTGGAAACCCCTCAGCACTCAAAATATCTTAAGTCACTATCTTGCTCTACTCTTCCTGAGACAATAACTTGGCAGTTTTTAGAGAGCTGATCAAATATGACTACTCTTACATATCCCTATAAAGGAAAATCCACCCTTAGCACTGAAACAAGAGACCTTCAGAAAATAGTAACTCATCGCCATATGCCAACTTTTTATTAAATCTGCTGGGAGCAAAGGTCACCTTAAATTTGTCACTGCATTCCTGATACAGATTAGCATCAGCCTGACTTTAGAACAGCCCAACCTTCGAACAGAAGAAGGAAGTGCAGGACCTGTCCACGGAGCCATTCCCACTCCCTGCACACCTCTGGGAGAGAAATGGAGTCAGAAAAACCTTGTTCCGCCTCATTCCGCTTCCCTTACGCCTCCAGCATCTCCAGGCCCCTTGATGAGCACATTCACCTCCCCAAAGCCCTCCTGCAGAAGCCAGGACCCGCACCGCATCTCCGCACCCTCCGGGAACGAAGAACGCAGCTCGCCCCGCAGCTTGGGGTGCTTGGCTCGCTTCCCTCCTCCGGAGCCGGCCGCGGGCCACCGCCCCGCTGACAGCGAGAGTGGCGGCGGCCGGACGCCGAGGATCTTCCCCCCCACACCCTTCAGCGCGCCGCCTGTGCCGGCCTCCGCCCGGCAGCAACGCTGAAGAGCAACACCCGCGGGGTGCCCGCGGCCCACAGGGGCCCGCTCCGCCGCCGGGCCGCAGCCACCGCACCTCCGTTCAGCTTGGTTCACCTCACGGCCCGGCAGGGCCCGCCAAGCCGCCGCACGCGGGAAGCCCGGGGACGCCACTCGGCACCGCGCCGCCCGCACCGCGCTCACCTTCCGCGCCGCCAGCGGCCGCAGCTCCCGGGGCGGCGGCGGGACCCTCGACCCGGCCGCACCCCGGCGCCCGCCCCTGCCGCACCGCGCGCACGCGCCCTCTCGCGCCACGGTGCCCGGAGGGCCCGCCAGGGGGCGCCGCTGCAGGGGGGCGGGGCGGGGCAGCCGCAGGCTCTGCCCGCTGCCCGGCAGCTTCGCGCGGGGCGCGGCGCTCCGCCGGCGCCGCTGTTGGAACGCGGCGACGGGGCCTCGGCGCCCGCCCCTCCGCGGCCTTCCCGTGGCGCCGTAGAGGCCTTTGCCGAGGGAGCGTTCGGTCCCCGCCGGCACCGCGGAAGCGGGATCGTTCCGCTCGTGCCCGCGGCTGCCATCTCCTTCTTGACACCTCCTGGGCTCGGCGCCCCTGGGAGGTAGAGACAGCGGGGTCCGGCAGGACCCGAGGGGCAGACACTGGAGCTCCTGCCGTTGTCCTGCCCGGCTGGTCACTGGAGTGGGAGAGGATGGCGGTGCTCAGCTCGCTGGTGTTCCTTAAGCACTTGTCAGGGATTTCAGAATGTAACCTTTGCACTGGGTTTTTATTACTTGCCGCTTGACCAGGGGAGAGGGTGTGCTGCAGCCTGCACATTGCTCTGGGCTGGGTCTGCTCCTCTGGAGGGGGTGCCAAGGTTCCCAGCAGCTGAGGAGCCAGCACTGCTCAGCCACTGAAGCGCTTGACTGTCAGTTGCTCGGTGTTCCCATTTCCAGCTCCTCCTCATCGTCCTCTGACCAGCTCAAGTTGTCATCTGAATCCTCCTCTTGTACGGCCCTAGGCTCCTTCGTGCAGGCAGCCTTCTCCTGCTCACCACAGGAGTGTGACCTGCTTTGGGGGAGCTCCAGCCTGGCCCAGGAGCCACAGCTGGTTTTGCAAAGTATGATCTCCACCTTGGTAGGCACCATGCTCACGAAGCTCTTCTCTATTTCGATGACCTAGAGAGAGGGAAAAGTGCAGTGAGCTGGGCAGAGAAGGGCAGGCAGCACATGCTCATCCCTTCCCTTCTGGCAGAGCCCTGCCACAGAAGAGAGGACAAATTTCTTCTCCTCATCTCCCAGGAGATAGAGCAGGATGAAACCTAGGCTGCAGCTGAGCTTTACGGTGTCCAGCTTCATCTAAGCAGCAGTGCAGTGCTGGTACAGAGCTCAGGGGAGCTCAGCTAGCCACAGCCGCATGCAAGGCTGCAGCACAGCCCTCTCCCCACAGCAGTAAAAGCTGCTGAAACACAGGCATACCCACAGCCAGCAGCACACACCAGAAAGAAAGGTGAGAAATGCACACAGAAATTCCTGAGTCCCACTGCTCCTCCCGAGCCAGCAAGCAGTGGAGAAATCAAAGAGCCTCTGAAACAGTCCTTGGCATAACCCCAAAGGTATTTCCAAAGAGAGAGCGCTATAAATGTCAGTACATGGGTGACCTGGCCCAGGAACGAGAGCAAGCACAGGCTGGCTTGAAGCTTTGCAGCCCAGCCCCATGCAGACTACTGGAAGAGGGAAATCAGAGTAAACAGAACCTTACCCCCCAAAGATTCATTTCAGCCTGGAAAATCTTATTCCCTTCAAAGATGATGTGAACCTCAAGCTGAAAGATCAACAGAAAATTACCTGAGTGGGTGGCACATCACTGCCAGAACTCTTCCCCAGACAGTGCATCTGCCCCAAAGCACCATAACGCATCCCATGTCCTGGCTCTGGTATAATGGGCTGGTGGTACCCTTGGGATCATTTCACCCCCTAGAAGCATTTCACCCCCATTCAGAGCATGCCAGGTTTACCTGTGCCACCAGTTGAGGGATTCAAGATCAGCAAAGCCACCTACTGAGGCTGAAAGCTGCTGAGCCAGAGTGACTGGGCAGATGCTCGTGCAGCAGTGAAGCCAAGGCGCTCTCAGCTTTGTGACAGCAGGTTGGCAGTGCCAACCCCAGCTGCAGCAATAGACCAAACAGGCCACCAAAGAGCGCCAGGCATGCAGCCGGCTCCTGGCCATTGATCAAAATCAGGTGCCATGAAAGCGCGCCCCCCAGCCCAGCTCTGCCAGCCCCACTCACCACAGTGCGGTTGGCTTTCACACTGCTGAGGGCAGGCAGCGGGTTCTTGGCATAGACAGTCACCACCACCTGGCTGCTGGTTTGATGCCAGTCCTGCCGGCATGACACTGCCTTCTTGTCCTGCCATGGAGAGGAACCCATCATGGCACAGTGTCTAGTCCAAACACTTCAAACAGAGGGGATGTCTGTACCAGAGGATGCTCCTTTGCAGAGCACTGGCTGAGGCTGGTATCAGCCAAACAAGATCAAGCCCTGCCTTTTCTGCTTTTCTTTTGAGGGGAGGCAGTTAAGGACATGTTAAGACCAGAGATATCCCCTTCTTGTTCCAGAGTCACTTGGCTGTGCCCAAGCTCATACATGCTGTGCAGAGTCAAAAAACTCAGTCTGGAGGGCAGTGTAGGGACTGTTGCTGGATCACAGCACCATGCTAAATTTTGGAGGCAGATGAGACCCAACTGGCCATGTTTCACTTTTCTTCCACAGGACCCACACCTCCTCTGTGCCACAGGCAGCTTTGACTGTGCCAGGCATTTTTGGAGTACCTCCAGGAGACAAGCCCCCAGCAGTCCTCATCATTGCCAGCTAAAGAAATGCCCCAGGATGAGCCCCAGCCCCAAACTCAGGTGACAATTAGCACAAAGCATATGCATCACAACATCGCAGTTCATTCCCTGCAGCTTCCTTTACATCCACTACATGTTTTCTGCTCCAGGACAAAGAACAGTCTGGTGTCAGAAGAGGCTGCTCAGAGAACACGGTGCACTTTCAGCGATACCCTGGGCCACTATGGTGTGGCTTTCCTAGCTCAAGCCTGTTTACAGCCTAGAGTTTTCCTGGGAAGCTTACACATACACACACAACACTGGGAATTCAGATATTCTCCCTATTGCCCTGCCACAACACCCTGTTGCTATACAGGTGAGACCCCTCCTGATAAGCAGTTGCAGAGGGAAAGCTTCATTAAAACCAGATTAAGTCATCTGACAACACTTTTGAGGGGTTTTGGAGGGATTTTCCCATGCTCAGCAGCCTGCCCCTGTGCAGCAGCCGTCAGCGCTGCCTGCGCTGTGCCTGGGGGCACCTCCTGCCTTGTACAGCTTCCTGTTGCACGTTCCTGTTGGCTGTGAGAGCTGACACGTTTTGTGAATGCAGGAGCAGCATTTTAAATAGCAGATGGGTGAAGATGAGGCCTTCAACCCTGCACAGTCACCTGCGGCAATTAGGACAATTAAGAGAATTGAGCGCAGAACCCTGTGTGAATGCAGAGCAAGGGAACGAGCACCCCCGGGTGCCGGCAACCGGACTGTGCTCACAGCGCTCCCCCCGCCAAGCGCCCTCTTACCGCCCTCCCTGCCCAGCAGTGCCGCCCACGGCTGCAGCCCGGCTGCTCCAGGAAGGCGCTGAAGTCCGTGGTTCTGACGCCGCAGCAGCTCCAGGACTTCACCCTGGGGAGAGCGGGGGGACCTGAGCGGGGAGCGCCCGCAGAAGCAGGCTTTGGGGGCGGTAGGGGAGAGTGGCTTGGAGCCAGCAGCTCCCCTTAGCTCCCCTCGGGGGTGTTACCCACAGCTGCACCGGCCACATTGCTGAGGCCACACAGCCTTGCAATGTGGCACTTACAGCCCTCAGCAGGGTCAGTTTGCTTCCTGGTGAAGAGTTGTTTCTTACCCCTCATGGAAGACAGGAACACCAGGATGGAAAGTACAAACCTCTGTGTTGCTTTCTGGCCCTCGGTAGATCTGTGGAGCCAGAAGCAGAGGAAATCTTTGGCTGTGCGTCAGGCATGATGCAGCATGACACAGCTGTTCATCTGCCCGTTGGTGCCCATCCCTCCTTAGTGCACAGCATGATGCCCAACATCACCCTTTCACTAGGTCCAGGATCTGTGAGGACTTACTCTGGCACTCTGCCTCCCTGGCACCCTGGCCCTGCTGCCTGCTCCCTGCTTGTGACATCAGGGCAGCCACCCTGAGCTCACCAGCACCCCAGATCCATCCCTGACACCCTGACAGCAGCCTTTTTGTATCCCATATCCCAAACACAGCCTGATCCCAGCCTGGGACTAGGCAACATCGGGTCAGTGGGCAAGTTTGTACACCACAGAAACTTGCTGCAAGGTGCAAGGGGCTGTTTGTCCATCCTGTCCTTTCCCATCCTTCCCGGAGCATGTTGGCCTCATGTCCTTATCCACCTGCTGTCTTTTGCTCCCTGTTTGCTTCCCTCTCTGCTGCTTTCCAAGCTTGCCTGCCTTCCCACAGCTGGGTCCCTCCAGCACACACAATCCCAGGATTCTTAGGACTGAAAGGGACCTCTGGAGATCATCCAGTCCAACCCCCCTGCCAAAGCAGGGCCACCTAGATCAGGTTACACAGGAACACATCCACGTCCAGGTGGACTCCTCGAGGCAGGCTACCCAAGGTGGCCTTGGGGTGAGATACAAACTGGGCTCTGCTGCATTAATTAAATGTAGACGGGAATTATTCCACATGCATTTTATCTGTATGCCCATATCCTGAATTATGTGCTACGTTTCATTGCAAGCAATTAGCAGCAGTGAAATGCAAATGTACCTCCAATCAGGAATCTAGAAGCCTCTGTCAGGAATGTGGCTGGGAAGTGACAGAGTCAGCTGCTCTAGGGTTGGGATGAGCAGGAGCATACAGAGCTGATGGGCACTCCCACCAGCACAGCACCCTGTGGAACTGGAAGACGAGCCCCTAGGCTGGACCTGCAATACTGCTGGGCAAGTGAAGATGGGACCTGCTGGGTACTCACCACCTTGCAGGCTGCATTCTTGCAGGTGGTGCCAACTCTCACCTGGGCAGTCGTCTCCCCTGCGAGAGCAGCACAGCTTCACCCTGGAGCACGCACTCCCAAACCCTCCCTGTAGCCCCACCACCAGCTCCCCAGCTTCTCATGGATGGCCCCTGAGCACAGCTCACTGCAATGTGCCTCAAGGTACAGCGCTGGGGGTTGGCTGGTGCTAAGCATGCAGCACCTGCCAGCCTGTGCTGAACCTGCCCTGCAAAACCCCATGCTGAACTTGCCATCTGCAATCCCAGCGCCGTCCATCAGCTTGCCACTACTTGCGCAACTGCCCTCAAGTGCCTCGTCTTTGGAGGACAGGTTCAGTTTCTCCAGTGCCTGTTCCAGAGACCTGGATACTTTAATGGGCAGCAGTTGTCTTGGCTCATCAGAGCTGGGAAACAGCAGCAGCGAAGGCTGAGTTAGGGTTTGGGGTTTTTTGCAGTGTGTCTCTGCCTCTCTAGAGAAAGCAGCAGCACTTCCTCAGGAACGCATGCAGAATGCATGCAGAAGGAGTGGGACTGCAAGGCCAGCACTGTTAGCTGAGGCCACCTCACCTTGGTCTTTCCTGTTGCATCTTCTCAGCTGATTTTGGTCCTTGGATGATGAGCTCCTCCACTGGTTTGGCCTTCTGATTGTCTGAGGTCTCCCCTTGGCTGAAAGGCTCAGGAGGCTTCTCTTTGCTGTGAAATCCCTTTGTGCACCCCTGAGCAGCAGAGGCAAGCCCTGTGCCTGCTTTGTCCACCCTGCTCTGGCACCTGCTCCCAAACCCTGCAAGTTTCTGTGCTTTTCTGGTTCTGTGTCCTGCAGGGATGGGCTCTGATACTGCACCAGGGCAGGGGTTGAGGCTGCAGGGATTCCCAGGGCCAAGACAGTGTGGCCATGGCAGACAGGTCTCAGCTCTGCTGCACCCCAGCCTGGTAGCTGAAGGGCAGCAAGAGTCTCCCCCAAATCCTTGGTCCTCTGCTGCCTCCTGCCCCCCCCAACCCCAGCACCACTCAGACTTTCACAGCTGTGCTTGTGCTTGGAGCATTTGTGTTCACCCTTGCAGGATTCTGGTAGGGGGCTATAGCTCCTTTGGACACCCTTCTCCAGGACTGCCTGCCCCACACTTTGAGATTAGCACCCTTGCAGGCTCCTTGGAAGCAGATAGGAAATCCCTGGCTGATGGGCAAAGTGGGGAGCCTTGGCACAGGATGGGACAGAACAGCACAGAGCAGGGGCAAGGAGGAGAGGACAGAGGAACAGTGTGGGTGCATTTGGGCTTGTGGGTCGCTCACCTTGATGGAGAGGAACTCTGAGAAGTCTGTTGTGCGTTTCTTGCAACAAGACCAGCCCTAGGCACCAGGAGATGACAGAGTGGTCAGGTGTAGGCGATCCCAGCAGGCACAAGGCTGCAGCTGCAGCCCTGGCTCCTGCCCCACTCACCTTCAGGGCATCGTGGAAGATGGGGACACCCAGGTGATACAGGCAGGAATCTGAAAAGGGAAAATCAGGGGATTTCAGGAGGAGCAATCCTGCCCATGAGCCACCCATGACACCCAGCAGCTCTGAGCCAGCTCCTGCCATCCTGGGCTCAGCTCAGCCCTGTTTGGCAGCACAGGCCATGGCGTGGCAGCCAAGGCTGGTTCTGAGACCAGGAAAACTGCACACATTCCACTCACCCCAGTACAAAGCAGACAAGCCCACTTACTGTTGGTGTTGTGCTCAGGATCAAACCTCTGCCCACAGCCCTTGTTGTAGCACAGTGATGCCATAGCTCAGGTGTACTTGTGGCTTTTCCTTCTCTCCTTCCACAAAAATCTGTTGGTCTCATCCCTACCTGTGATCCTCCCCCTCTGCTTTCCCCCAGTTTCCAGCCCAGGCACCGGGAGGTGGCTCTGCCTATCTTTGGAGGCAGCCAGAGGAGGTGTCTGGTAACCGGAGAGCAGGCTAAAGATGGACACGGCAGCTCAGCAGCTGACAGGACCCAGCGCCCACGTTATCTCAAGAAGCATTTCTGTCCTGCCCTGCACCCAGCAGAGGGGATGGGCACTGCAGGCTGGGCAGAGGACCTCCAGCACCCACCGTCCTGCCAGAATATGGCATGGAGGCGCCGGCAGCACCCCAATGCTCACAGTCAGCTCAGGGTAACCTGTGATTTCTCGTGACAAAATGCTCTCAGTTTCTTCAGCAGTTATAGAAGCAGCTAATTTTTTTCCTGAAAAAGAAGGGAAATAACTTCACAAAGTCACAGGGCAAAACCTCTGCTGACCCGCCCCACCCCAAACCACCACTGTCTGCCTGACAGAGGCTCTAGCCGACCAAAGCAGAGCACAGGGCCAAGACACCCTTCGATGCAGGGTCTTGTGCAACCCAGGGATGAAGATTATTGTCACCATAGAAGAAGAGCACAAAATGTTACACGGGTCCCCTGTACCCAGGAGGCTCCCTGCACCCATTCTGGGACCCAAGGGTTTTCCTTTACAAAACTCTACAGATCAAAGGTTTTATTTAATTCCCGCAAGCATCTGCAACAAATACTCTTTTCTTCTTGTTCCTGTTTGCAGGGACAGCTGGACCCCTCAGTTTCCTGGGCACTGCCCTGACCTCCCAGAGCACACAGCACCAGGAGAGCATTTCTGCTCAGGAATTTGGTTTGACATAAGCCCTTGGCACTACCAGACAGGGCAAAGGACAAGTCCTGGAGGTAGAAGCTGCCCAGGGAGTCTGCTTTGGAGGGGAACCCACAGGGCACACTGTGGCTGATGTAACCCCATTCCCATCCCATGATGTTGGTTTAGCCCAGTTAATCCCCCTACAACAGCCTGCAAGATGCGAGGGGATCTCCAGAGTCCAGAGTCAGGATGAACCTTTGCCAAAGTTCTGGAGATCACCAGGGAGATGACTCCAGACTCATTTTGCACTGCACTGCTGCTCACCTCCAGCTCAGCTCTGCCATCCTCACCTTGTGAAGCCATCACCAGCAGTAACGTCAGGGCTTTTCTGTGTCACCTTGTTAGCAGGGAAGACAGCCCCGCAGGAGGGAAGGACATGTACCACCGTCACCGCCAGGCCTCCTCAGACCGGGGTAGCTTGTGTATAAACCCACATCCACCCAAAAGCTAGGAGGGAAACATGAGGGCACTGGGGAACTCTCATACTAGCACGAACGACATGGTTTCAAGCTGATACCTCCCTTGAAGGTCTGCAGTGCCTCAAGACACAACAAATCACACAGCAGTCTCAAAGATGGGTAAAAAAATTGCTGTTGGCATCCAGAGCCTCTGTTCAGGCGGGAAGGATCACTTGGGACCCACGAAGCTCAGAGAATTTGCAGTCCTGGGGGCTGGACAGAGCGATAGGGTTTCAGATCTCCTTGTCCTTTCCACAGGCTGGCAGCAGGGCTGCAGCTGTCACCATCCCAGTGCCAGCGAGAACTGGGAGCTCGCATTGTCACGCATGCTGGGAGCAAACACCATGAGGATGCTGTGGCTGCCTCACACAGCAAGGCTTGCCCTTGCAGAGGGACCAGCAGACACATGGGGGGCCGCAGCTGAGCAGAACCCCCTCAGCACCAGAGGAGCAGCAGCCTGCAGCCCATAGCAGCACTGCTCTGCCCTCGCTCCTCCACTGCTTCACTGCAAAGGTCTGCAGGTAATGAGGCTTGGAAGACAGAACCTGCCAGGAGCACAGCCTGTCAGTGACAAAGGGTAGATTGGGGTGTCCACAGCTCTCAGCACAGGGAAGGCTCCCCAGGGAGGACAAGGTGAAATACAGATTAGAGATGCACTCCAGGGGAAACCTGCGGGTACCCTGTGCCAGTGCCTCAGCACTCCTACAGGGAAGAGCTTGTGCCTAAGAGCTCATCTCAGTCTCTCCTCTGGCAGGTTAAAGCCAGCAAGGAATGGGGCAGCAGAGAATTAAGAATAGAGCCTATTTGGTTTATGTGCACTTAATTGAATGTGTAACAGAACAAAAAGGTAGAAAAAATGACCAAATGATTCTTAAACCCAACTTAATGTGTTTACCCCTGAATGATCGGGGTCAGTTTAAAACAGTCCCCCAGAGTCCTGGGGACGAACATGCTGGATGCCTCTGTGGAAGGAAACTCCTGCTCAACCCTGGGTCCTCAGGATACCCTGTGGAATCCAAGGCAGTGTAAAGGGAGTTGAGTGCTAAAGCATGGAGTAGTTCCTCCATACAAAAGGCTGGTTAGAGAAAGGAAAATCCCTGACATAAATACTACAGCTACATATGCTAGTAGTCAGAATTCATGTTGTAGTTACCTGGGAGATAAAATATTCCCCATAAGAATATTTGTGAGCAATTCTCCAGCAGAATTTCTGCCCAACTGCTCTTATTCTGTAAGCACTGCTCAGTACCAGCAGTTGTCCAAGAGGTCTGTACTGATTGTACTCAACAGCTGAGAGAACAGCTTGGAAAAAGACCATAAAAATCGTCAGAAATGGGCATGTGGGCAATCTTCATCTCTCCATTCAAGAACACTGCCCTTCTGCAGCTTGAGTTATTACAGAGCTATTGCCCCAACACTCTGGTCTCATTGAACAATTACAACTTTAAATTGGAATCAGCTGCCCAGTTGATGAGAATTTTCTCCCTGTAGCTCAGGCACTGCCTTGCTCCCAGAGAGAATTTCATCTCTTCAGAGCTGAGCTACTAAAGGAGCCCGTTTGCTCTGAAAACACATCAAAAAGCACACTTCAGTCATCAACAGGAACCAGCCCAAAATGAAGAGCTCAGTCTACTCTGAAGACACAGTTTTCTCATTATTAGCTGGCATCTGTAATAAAAAACTGTTGCCTGGATCAGCCTGAACTGGTGGGAAGTGTGGGGGTTTACAGGTTTTGGAAGGCCCTGTGACCTTAAAACATGGTCATTATTAGCGCAGTTAGAGCAGAATGATGGGCAGGGAAAGTGTCCTAATGGGAGCCTGGCTGAGCTCCCTGCTCTCTTCCTCTCTTTTGGGCTGCCTGTGGCACAGAGGTGACTCGCCACATAGACAGTCAGGTACCAGAACTACAACCAAGACAGCAGCGGGAAAGATGGCTCCTTTCAGCAAGGCCACAGGAAATCACATTTTCCTTCTTTCAGCTTCCAAAGGTAGCTCACCGGTGTGGTAAGTTCAGCGTATTACACCGCTTGTATCCTTCTGCAGTAACGGGGAGGTTCTGGTGACACATGGTGTGCCAAAAAAAAAAAAAAAAAAAAAAAAAAAAAAAAAAAAAAAAAGGGTTGTCTGCTGCTTTGGTGTCACAAAATTACCCGTGTACGAGGTCGATTTTTCAGATTTCTCTTTGAGTCTTGCAAATGCAGCCACTGTTTAGGGGAAGCTGCATAAAGAACAAGTTGTAACTTAAGTCCAAAAAAGATGGGAGTTTAAAGTTAAGAGCAAAATTCAAAAACTCAGACTGCTCATCAGCCCTTAATCTGGTACGAACTGATTCTGCATAAATGCATTTTAAAAAAACTGACTGGATATGACAGCAAAGAGCAAGGATTTCCACGCCATGATAGTCAAAATACCTCATCAGCCCGCAACTCCGTTAACAGCCAGCGATCTGGAACAGCGTGGAGAGGGGAGTGCTCCCTTCTGTGCAGAGGCTGAAGCTCAGTTCTTCCCCGTGAGGGCGCTGAGGCGCTGGCACAGGGTGCCCAGAGAAGCCGTGGCTGCCCCATCCCTGGCAGTGCTCAAGGCCAGGCTGGACACAGGGGCTTGGAGCAAGCTGCTCTAGTGGAAGGGGTCCCTGCCCGTGGCAGGGGTTGGAGCTGGAGGAGCTTTAAGGTCCCTTCAACCCAAACCAGGCTGGGATTCTGTGAATCTCCTCAGAGGTTAAACACCCTGTTTTCAGAGCTATGCGATAACAACTTTTGCACCATAACCTGAAGCATGGTTTATTCCAATCCATATGGATACATTTTTATTAAAAACAAACAAACAAGCCAACCAAGCACTCGTAAGAGAAGACACCTGATAAAAAAGGCTTAAAATCCACTTTAATAATGCATTCCTGTAACATTCCTCAGACTCGGACTTCTTAGTGGAACAATTACAACTTGTGTTCAAACAGTTTACACTAAATGAAAAATCTTGTAGTACTTCTACACAAAAGACAGGCAAGGTTAAGACTATACAAACATTTGTTTTAGTTAAATCTTCAGCAAGAGATACAGTATCTTTGTCCAATAGATTGTACTTTACTACCAGTAAAAATGAACAGCAATACAACACGTTATCAAAAAAAATCCATCCAAACAAGAGCCTCCCACAGCCATTCTGGCTGCACACGACAGTCAACTACTTTAAAGAAACAGATGGTCCAGATAAAGGAGTAACTACAAGTTAGAAGAAAAAGAAACAGAACAAAACCAAAATAACCCCGAACATAAAATCTTCCCCAATTAACTACATGATGAATCATTTAGAGCTATATCAATTTACAGAATCATGGGAGCTGCAAAGTACCCAGATGCTGCCCTATTCTCCAGAAACTTCCCTGTGCTCTTCAGCAAGGTACACTACACTAAAAAAATGCCAAGACACTGCAATTTTTATCTAGTTTAGTCTCAGGACCCCAGCTGCAAACAGCAACCTGGACTGGTCAAGGCATGAGGGTCCTTGCTGGATTTTACCGGCTTAACAACCATGGCATCCTCCCAGAATCCATTTTTCACATTGAAATTATAGGAATGCACCACATGAATTCTTCTAAAACCTTTACCAGTCAGACTGCACCCCCCTTGGCCTAGAGTGGCTTTACCAAAACAGGCCCTAATTAACTATTTTTAATATCATTCCCCCCCCCCCCCCCCCCCTTGAGTTGAGCCCTGCGTGG